AAGTTGGAAACAAAAAGAAGAACTGGTATAGTCAGAAAATACATCACATAGTTGGTGATGGAGATGAGGCTGGAGATGAAATGACTGGATTTTTATAATAATGGTCTTATGCAGTATTTGTCCTTATGAGACTGAGTTAGCTCACTCAGCATAATGCTCTCCAGTCCCTCCCAAGTTATGCTGTATTTTTCAAAATCGTTGCTCCTGAGTGTTGTGTAGTATTCCATCATGTGAATGTACCACAGTTTGTCAATCTCTTCAGTTGTGATTGGACATTTGGGCTGTTTCCATGTTCTTGTGATTGTGAATAACGCTGCTATGAACATTTTTCTTTTAACTTCTTTTTTTTATTAATTTTAATGAAAGTTTACAGAGACTTAGGGTTTCCATTCATTCACTGTTTCACTTTTCTCCCTGCCCATCCCCTCTCATCAATTTGCTCTTCTCTTTGAAAAGTAAAAGAATAATTCTTTCATTGTGATTATACGATCACTCCCCCCCCAAAAAAAAAAATCCACTCCACTGCACTGTGCAGTCTTCATTCTAGACTTCTGGCTATGAACATTTTTTAAGTCCATCACTTTTTCTCCCAGATTTTACTATAAATATCAAGAAGCTTCTTTTAAGATTTTGCTTAGAAATCATCTCAGCCGGATATCCAAGTTCTTCACTTCCAAGTTCTATCTTCTACTAAATATTTGAACATCATTTAGATGCGTTCTTCACCACTACATAAAAAGCATCACCCTTCCTCCACGGCACAACCACATAATCATAGTTTTCTTTTGAAGCCAGATTTAACGTCCACATTTCTGGGAACATGCTGCTGCTGGTGTCGTATGGATGCTTCTCTTCGCTTCCTTGTTTACCCTTACCAGTGTTACCTTTAAAAAAAGTATTATTATTATTAATTTTAATAAAAATTTACAGAGACTTTGGATTTCTATTCATTCACTGTTTCATTTTCTCCCTGCCCACCCCTCCCCTCCAGTTTGTTCTACTCTTTGAGAAGTAAAAGTAAAATTCTTTCATTGTTATATAATCCCTTGCCCCAAGTCCACTCCACTGTGCAGCCTTCGTTCTGGACTCCTGTCATGACAATAATACCTAATCACATATCCCTTTTAAACAGTTCTTCATCTGTTTCAATGTAGTGTACATTATTTATCCTCTCTTTCTCAGTCTCCCCCCAACCCGAATGTCAGTCCCGTTTTAGAACAGTGGCACTACGCAATATTTATCCTTTTGTGACTGAGATAATTTACTCAGAATAATGTCCTCCAGGGTCATCCATTTTCAATAATATTTCATGAGGGCCTTATTTTTCAATGCAGTGTAGTATTCCATTGAGTGAATATACCAGAGCTTCTCTATCCATTTGCTTGTTGATGGGTACTTAGGTTTTTCCCAACTCCTTGCTATTGTGAACCAAGCCACGATAAACATGGGTGTGCATATATCTGCTTGAGTGGTGGTTATGGCTTCTTTAGGATAAATTCCCAGTAGTGGAATTGCTGGGTCAAATGGCATTTCTATTTGCAACTTTTTGATAAAGCGCCATAATGCCTTCCTTAGTGGTTGCACCATTTTACACTCCCACCAATAGTGAATAAGGGTTCCTGTTTCTCCACAACCTCGCTAGCATTTGTTGTTTGCTGTTCTGTTGAATTTTGCTATTCTTAACTGTGGCGAGACAGTATCTCATAGCTGTTTTGCAGCGCTACCTCTGACGTCCGAAATTCTAGGTTTCTTCAAGGCAATCTACACTTTTTTATCAGGCACTATCAACCTCTTCCAGCCTCTACCTATTACCCAATTCCAAAACCACTTCCACATTTTTCGATATTTGTTAGAGAAACACCCATCTCTTCCGGTATTCTTAGTTGTCTTGATCTGTTGAAACACAAATGCCACAAGAGGACAGCGTTCATAAACCAAATTTACATCTCACAGTTAAGGAAGGTGGAAGTGTCTGATTCCAGGGGGCCAGCTCTGGGGGAAGATTGATGGTCTGTGAATGCTGGGTCTTTAACTTTTGCTTCTAAGTGATCTTGTGATTTGGTATCTCCCTTCCTCCATCTGTGCCTCTTTGGTTTGCTTGTTTATTTGATCTCTTTTATATCTCAAAAGAGGTCCATCTATGCCCGTTATTACCCCATCTTTTCAGATTCCCACTGGTTCTTTCCTAATGGTGAGTAATTTTATAGTACGGGCATGATCCTATGAAACAGTGTGAATGAAGGAATGTGTGAAACACAATGCATATGAATTTTGTATGCAAATCAATATAAAATAAAAGTAAATTTAAAAAAGAGAGTTTGATCTAAACCGGAAAAAAATAAAAAAAGAGAAAAAAATAAATAAAAGAATTAAAAAAAAAAGAGAGAGAGAAAAAAAACAAAACAAAAAATAAAACACATACTGCACGAAGCTAGTCTTATTAACTTAACAAAGTCAATCCGTTTCCAGATGGGATCATAACCACAGGCCTGTATAGAGATTAAGATTTACAGCTTATATTTTGGGAGGACACAGTGCAATCCATAACAGTGGCTTAGACTCCAGGATAGGTCTCCGGCATGGACCCAGCATGCCACAATTTACAAAGTCCCTGTCTCCTATGTCCACCATCTCTCCTCCCATGTCCAGGAGGGAGGAAGCAGGCCTGCCAGAGGAGGGCTGGCTGTGGGGGAGGAGGGCAGGCCCAGGAGTTCACATCTGTTCACCTAGCCTTCCTGCTCCTGGCTCACCAAGTACCAGGAGCTCAGGAACCCTGGCTTCTGACCTGATGTTCCACACCAGACTCACATCTGGCTCCCACACCCTGTGAGTGACCCAGCACTCCCTCCCCACCCCAGACAGCCCGACAGGGAACTGCATTTCGTCTGGCCACCGTGAGAGAGGAAGAGGAAATGGAGGTCAGAGGTCAGTGGTGGCTAGAGGTCCCCATGAGACCCAGTGGGAGAGAGCAGTGACCTGGAGAAGACACCCCTGTGTGAAGGTGTCCTTTGCCAACCTAGGCCCTCACCTGAGATCCTGCCTCACGCACATGGAACCTGAGGGTCACAAGCGTAGAAGCCTGAATGGAGCCCCTCCGGCCCCTCTTCCGGGTCACTCTGCATGTGTGTTTCCAGCCCTCTGGGTCACATTGCCGGCTGGGAAAGGGTCATAATAATTCACAGCTCCACACACATCACGTCAGGAGGCCTCACGTCCCTGGAAAGCACCAGAGCAGACAACAGCATATACAAGGTTAAAGGCCAGGAAGCAGCCAGGATAGAGGTAGGTCCAGGCCTGACCACACCCCCACACCCCCATATCCCTGTCAGTGTTCCTGCCCCAACACGTTTCTGCTCCCCACCCCTGTGCTGCTCTATGCCTTGTCCATCCAGTGCTGGGGGAGGCCGAGTGGGGAGCCAGGTCTCCTCGGGAGGGTGGAGCTGCCTCTGAAGGTTCTCAAGGTTACACACTCTGTCCGAAAGAGCCCTGGGGATGCAAGGGTTAAGTGCTCAAACCCACCAGTCTCTCCTCAGGACGGAGTGTGCCTTGCACCTCTGTAAAGATGGCAATTATGAGGGGAGCTCTGGTGGCCTAGTGCCAAAGAACTGCAACTACAATCCCAGAGGTGCATGGTTCGAATCCACCAGATGCTCTGCCGGGGAAGGAGGGACAATCTCCTCCTGTACCAGTCAGATCTGATTTGACAGTACACTCACACAAAAATAATAATAAATTTAAAAAAAAAAGATGGCAATTATGGAAACCCTTGGGAATCGTTCTATTCATGTGTCGTTACTGTTAGGTGCTGTTGAGTTGAATATGATTCATAACGACCCTGTGAACAGTGCATCTGAACCCTGGCCTTATCCAGTGCCATCCTATCATATCCTGGCACATTAGATCCCATTGCGACAGTCGCTCTGTTAACCCACCTGGTCAAGGGTCTTCCTCTCCTTTGCAGACCCTCCACCCTTCCCAGCACCATGTCCCTCTCCCATGAATAGGCCCTCTTAGCAATATGTCCAAAGTACATGAGACGAAGCCTCATCATCTTTGTCTCCAAAGAGCACTCTGGCTGCACCCTCTCCAAGACTTATCTATTTGTTCTTTTAGGAGTCCATGGGACGTTCAGTGCTCTTCTCCAACACCACGGCTCAAAAGCAACAATTCTTCTTCTGTCATCCCTGTTCATTGTCCAGCTCTCAGATGCACAGCAAGTGATCAGAAAGACCATTGTGTGAATCAGACACACCTTAGTTCTCAAACTGACATCATTACTTCTCAATAATTTGGAGAGGGCTCTTTGTAAGTTGGGCATAAAACTCCACAGCAGATTTTGTTAATCTTTATGGGAGCAGATAGATGGCCAGGCCTTTCTTCCTTGGAGCTTCTGGGTTCAAATGAATAACCTTTCACTCAGCAGCTCAGCTCTGAATGCTTTGTGTCCCCAGGGCCTGGCCTTGGTCACACCTTCCGCTGGGGCCAGGGGGCAGGAGCGCAGGCTATGTCTCCATCCCCGTCCTGTAACAAGCTTCCTGTCTGACAGTTCCCCGAGATAACACCATCACTGTCTCTGCTTCGCTGAGGGGAAACTGAGACAGAGCAAGACCCACTCACCCGCCAGCTGAGTCCCGGGCCTGGGAGGGAGGGCCCGAGCCTGGCTCTGAGGTCTGTCTTCATCACCACTTCTGGGGGTCTGCTCGAATGTGACCCCACCAGCATTGCCCACCCCGCGGGGGCCTGGAAGCAGCGTTCTCGTGGGATCAGCAGCGCCTGCCCACGGCACCTGCCCACGTGGGTTCTCTCGCAGCTGGTCAAGGTTAGGCCCGCTTTCCCACCCTCACCTTTCATAACCCACCTGATGGCGCCATTGAGCAGGAAGGGTGAGGAAGAGGCCACAGGAAGCAACTTGGGTGGGGCTGGCAGCTGAGCAGAGGCTGGGACCAGAGGGCCTGGTGACCACACGGGGCCGGGAAGGCGACAGACAAGGCTGGTCAAGGATGCTGACGCCCAGGAGCTTCTCAGCCCTGCTCCTCCTGTTCCTGGCCTCAGGTAAGCAGGGGGTCCCTAGCTCCTCCCCGCAGCTTGGCTAAGACACTGGGTTGAACTAGGATCAGCGACAGGGCAGGGGTGAAGGGTAGGGGTCATCTGAGAGTCCCTGAGGAGCTTGGCCTGACCGCCTCAGCGCCTTCACTAACCACTGGTCAGCACCGGGCCTCCGCTTCCCTTCATTTCCCCACAGGGCCGTGGCTGGGGTTCCGGCCTGTGGCTCTCCGCCTGGCCTGGCTTTGGGACATGGCAGGTCCTGACTAAGCTAGATATTCTCCACTTGCCTCTGAGTACCTTGGGGAGGCACAGAACCCACGGGAAGCTGAGGCCAGACAGGCTCACAACTCTTCCCCCACCCTTTCCCTGGACCCCTCCACCCACACGCACCACCCACTCCTTGTCTCAGCAAAAGGACCTTCAACCGTCCTGGAAAACACTTTTTAATGCCCTGCCCATCACCCACCTGCTCAGCTCTTCCTCCCCCTCCCTGCCCAGGGTCAGGGCAGACGCTGTCTCTGAAGTCCTCCTGTCTCTGAAGTCCTCTCGTCTCTGAAGTCCTCCCATGTGGTCCTCCCAACTAGCACCTGATTCTGTGAGTGGCTGTGCATCTCTCTGCCCTGTGTCTCTCCAGCACCGGTAGACGGCTCCGTCCTTGGAGATAGAAATTGTTCATTTTAGAGCTCATCTCTCACCTACCGGCCCTTGACTTTGAGCTCATTGATCAACCTCTTTGGCCTTTAAGACCTCTGCTTCCTTGCAAATGGTGGAGGGTTCAGTGAAGTGTGAAGTTCAGTCCTCAGCTCAGGAAAGGGTGCAATAGCAGCTGTATCCTCCCAGAGCTTGGCCAGAACTGACCCCCAGTCAACACTTGGTGGCTCATTAATTTACTCTTAGTCCTGAGAGCTGCCCCTGCTCCCTGCTCTCAGGGAACATCATGAAGGTCCCTGGGCCCTTCACCGGAGTGGCAATGTGCTGGTCAGGCCATCAGAGTGTCCCTAAGTGTCCACATCTCACCTGTGCTGAAAACAGGGAGCACTCTGCTTCAAGTAGAGTATCACCTGAGCAAGGTGAGGAAATTTAAGGAGTTTAACTGCCTTGGTGGGTGGAAGTTTATGCATTAGTCTCTATCCACTCATTAATTTATTCATGCAAGCATTCATTCATTCTTTCCCTAAACACCCACGAATCCTGTCAGCTGTACCAGAGCAGCTGGTTGCTCTGGGGATCCCTGCCCGGGAGTGTCTCAGTCAAACAGAGTAGCAAGCGTGGGGGAGGTAGGAACCCAGCACATGGAGACTAGAAACTGAGGGCTCAGCCAGGCGAGAGAGAACGGAATAGAAGCCACAAAATCTGAGCTCCAACACTGGAGGTCAGGATGGCTGAAGGGTCTAAGGCGCTGCACTCAGGTCACAGCCTCCTCTGGAGGCATGAGTTCAAGTTCCACTTGTGACAAAGCTTTGTCTCACATTTGCTGCACAAAGTAAGGCTTTCTTTCTACAGTTCAAAGTAAAAGTAAAAAAATGAGGCACCTCTGGTGGCCTAGTCCGTGAGGACTCCATTATTGACACTGGTAACCCTAAAGCCACACTTCTCTGGCAGTTCAAATCCACCAACGACTCTGACGAAGAAAGATTGACAATCTCCTCCAGAGAGTTTTACAGCTGTGAAAACCCAAAGAAGGGTCAATTACAACTCAGTTTTAACTCGACAGCAAGGAGAGAGAGAGCTCTGGAGCAGCCTTGAGCATGAACTTGGATGAGTCATTATGCCCTTGGGTTATATAGTTTTCTGTGTAGCTGCCTCAGCCAATAGCAGAGAGAGAATTCTAGTGTGACTGTAGGCCAGAGTTTATCCACTAGTAAAACCTGCAGCCACAGCTGTGAGGGTTTGGGGAAGTCTGACAATGAATAGAAAGCAAAGACAACTTCCTGGAGGAGGTGGTCAAGGAAGAATAGCATTAATATATGGAAGCTCGTGCCAAGCTCTTTGTACGTGCTTCCCCCTAAGTATCCCACTGTAAGATTGGAATAGTGTTTCCTTCCACGTTGGAAACAGAGACTAGGATCTAGGTCTGAGTCTATCCCAAGTACACACAGCAATATAGACAGAATGAGGGTTCCAGGCCATACAACCGGAATCTGGATCCCATGATCCCTCTCAACTCTCTGTTACCTCCTCCCCACCTAGCTCAGTCCGTGTCTGCATCCCTCACTCAGGCAAAGGAAGTCCTAGGGAACTTGAGGAGCCAAGAAACGTCTGCAAGGGGAACATCGCTCTGGACCAGTATGACCGCTTCAGTCTGGACAGCGTCAGCAAGTGCTTCACAGAGTGTGAGCTAAAGAACAGCTCCTGTGGTCTGGGGAACTTGCAGAGGTGAGTAGGGCTGGGCCTGGGGCTGGGGCAGGAATCTGGGGCTTTGAGTGGGGTGGAAGGAAGATGATGAAATCATCAGCCCTCAGGGCCAGAAAACGCTGAATCCCTTCTCACTGTGCTACGCACACTTCCTGTCCTGGAGGTCAGAAGCCCTTTTGGTCCAGGGATGCAGACATAAACCAACTCTGCCTTGGGGAATTGTGGAGGGGCGGACATGGGCCTAAATGTTGATGCCTCCACAGTGTGACTGAATAGACCAAGAAAGATGAACAAGGTGCCATCCGAGCTCAGAGAAGGAAGCCCGTCATGCTTCATCCATGGAAGGGGACAAGGCATGCAAGGCTTTTGAAGGTTGAATAGGAGTTTTCCGGTTGGACGTAAGCAGTTGTGGAGGCTACAGATCATAGAATTTAGTGAACTCTGAGGACAGTGCCTTGACTGATGAGAGATCTAGGGAAGGGGCTGAAATGGAAGAGAATGGGAGGGAGACAGGCCTAGAAAATGAGCAGAGATGGAAGTGAGAAGAATCAGAGGAGCTTCTCAGGAGTCTGCATTTTATTCGGGGGTGGAAGGCAGTTCTTGGCCCACTTTGCCTTTGAGAACAATGTCTCAGGCTTCTGGGCAGGTGATCCAGGGTAGATGGTCTAATTTTAATGCAATGCGATGTATTAGATTGTCTTTTTTTTCCATTTAAATAAGAATTTTCATTTTCTTAAAAGCATAGCAAAATAGAGAAAAAGGGGCTTCAATTTTCTTTAAAGTTGATGCTTTTGTGTCCCGGTTAAGAATCTTTGCCTTCCCCCAAATCATAAAGATACCCTTCTGTGGTTTTTTTTTCCTGAGAATTTTATTGCTTCGTCTTACACATTTGTATCTACAGTTCAAGAAAAGAACAGTTTATGTGTTTCCTACTGCCAAAGGGGCCCTTTAGAGTAGTGAGAGAAGATCTTCACCCTGAAACC